CGAAAAGTGGTAAGGAACATGAATAGAAGGGAGCCCCTTTATATAGCCTAAAAAGGGGCGAATATCCAGGCAAAAATCACGGAAGGGAATCATAACTGCCATCCAGGGCAAGATTGGACAATATTCGGGAATCTTTGTCAGAGAAGGGTTCCATCGGATCCGCTTGGGAAGAACAAGATTCGCAATTTATCTAGAAAAGTGAGATCTTTCAAGGATACTATAGGATCACGGTTGTCAGACATCGGGATAAGACGTCAAGCCGACTCGGAGATTGGCCGACTAGTGAACCCAGTCGAGTGAAAAAGAGGATTCCAAAAGGCGAAAATTACGTGGATTATAATTATTCAAAGAGGCGGTACATGAAGAAAAGAACTTATTACATCAACAGACAAATATATATATATATATATATATATATATATATATATATATATATATATATATATGTGTGTGTGTGTGTGTGTGTGTGTGTGTGTGTGTGTGTGTGTGTGTTCCTTTTGCAGCTCTCCCTTGAAAACTTCACTCGACGATACCAGCAGACCCCGGATGGCACAATCACTCGTCGGGGGAAGAAGGCTCGTTCTGAAAGAACATCTCGTCCGATGGTCCGGTAGGAGAAGGGTAGAACGCATCCCAGAATTCCGACATAAGCGGCGGAACGATGGGCGGCTCGTCATCCGGATACAGCTCAAGGTAGCGAGCGAAGTCAGCATCAGTCATTAGATCAAGCGCCGGCCCGTCCAAGTCATCGAGGGGAATGGTGAAAGTCATTTTGAAGGCCAGTTGCTCTGGGACCGCCACCTCCATGAATGATCCGTCTTGTGCGGTGACTCGAGCTAATGTCGGAGGTGGGGGGTCGACCAAGGACGGAGTGTTTGCCACAGAGGATGGAGCATCAGTCGACGGTCGGGAGACAGAGGATGTGGTGCCGACATGATGCCTTCTGGAGAAAGGACGATGGGCATTCTTCTTGCCCTCTTTCTCCAGTCTCGACCTCTTAGAAGTAAGGGGGCGACGCGGCGACCCGAAGTCGATCTTCTTCCCTTTCATGGGGAAACGACCCATGGTTGACCAAAAGGAGTGAGGAGAAGGCACAAGGAGCAGGGCGCTATTTATAGAGTCCCGAGGGAGGATGAAGGAATCTAAATGGCCCCCGCAAATTAGGAAAATCCCAAGGAAGTTGGGCGTTACTCGGTCGATTAAGGGCGATAGATTGAGAAAGATTTTCGGATAGAGGAAATAAACGTTTCTACTTTCCGATATCCGCGTTAGAGGACCGGATATAGGAAAGTGAGGGACTAGTGATAGGGTGTGGACCCAGGCCCAAGAAGAATAAATACAAAAGGATAATCCCAAGAGGAAGGGAGAAGTCCAAGAAGGATGAAGAAGCCCAAAAAGAATAAAAAACGGCTCAAGGAGTGGGAACCCGAATAAGTAACAAGGCCCGGAGGAGATTAGGGCCGAGTCCAGGAATCGGTCCGAGAGTGGGACTAAGACTCGGCTGGACCAGCAAAGAGCCGTTGTGCAGGCATTTTTGACGACATTGAAGAGCTCGATCAAGGAGCCGTTGGGAGGCCCAGTAACGGCAGCCTCAACGGCCCTGTGGCGTAATTAGCACTTAAGACCCCTCAATGTACTTAAAGCCGAATTAAAGGAGAGCTTCCTATATAAAGTCCCCTCTAAAGATGTAAAACAGGCGAGTCCATGCCCAGAGAATAGAAAGACACATTCGCTACTATCATTTATTCGTTTCTATTTTCGAATAGCTTTATTGAAAGGTGAATCCACCAACCAAGGTTGTGTTGGACATCCTTGGGCCCAAAAACCTTAAAACTAACAGGTACGTAATTTACTATGGCGGTGCGCTCGTGGTGTTTTTCCGGTCAGAGAGAACTTGAAGACGAAGAGGATCTGGATTGGTAGAGGTTATCCAATGTGCGGCCAAGGCGCTGAGACAATATAACATCTCTTTGGCGAGTGTTGGTACGCCAGGCAACTGTGGCGGCTAGATGATGTGTTACAAGGAAGAGACATGGAGTCGTTCATGGCAGAGAGTCTGAGCGATCCTCGCCTGGATCACATTATGCAAATGGGGGCCATTTTTTGGGTGCTGTGGACAGCGAGGAATGATCGTGTGTGGCGAGATAAGGAATGCGTCGTGGAATCTCTGCGCATTCACATCCAAGTGTTGATGGAGACTTGGAAAGCAATAATACCGCCTACGATGTCCAGGGAGTGGTCGAGTGGCAACCATGATCAATGGAGCCGCCGGCGCAACACTGGCTTAAATGTAACGTGGACGCAGCGATCTTCGACGACGGTGTGGGCTTCGGGGCGGCGCTTCGTGACCACGAGGGCCGTTTTGTGGCGACCAAGAGCGGCCGAATAGATAGTGACCATGACCCGTTGATGGGATCACGATTGTCAGACATCAGGATAAGGCGTCAAGCCAACTCGGAGATTGGCCGACTAGTGAACCCAGTCGAGTGAAAAAGAGGAGTCCAAAAGGCGACAATTACTTGGATTATTATTATTCAAAGAGGCGGTACATGAAGAAAGGAACTTATTACATCAACAGACAAATATATATATATATATATATATATATATATATATATATATATATATATATATATATATATATATATATATATATGTTCCTTTTGCAGCTCTCCCTTAAAAACTTCACTCGACGTTACCAGCAGACCCCTGATGGCACAATCACTCGTCGGGGGAAGAAGGCTCGTTCTGAAAGAACATCTCCTCCGATGGTCCGGTAGGAGAAGGACAGAACGCATCCCAAAAGTCCGGCATAAGCGGCGGAACGATGGGCGGCTCGTCATCCGGATACAGCTCAAGGTAGCGGGCGAAGTCAGCATCAGTCATTAGATCAAGCGTCGGCCCGTCAAAGTCATCGAGGGGAATGGTGAAAGTCATTTTGAAGGCCAGTTGCTCTGAGACCGCCACCTCCATGAATGATCTGTCATGTGCGGTGACTCGAGCTACAGTCGGAGGTGGGGGGTCGACAAAGGACGGAGTGTTTGCCACAGAGGATGGAGCCTTAGTCGACGGCCGGGAGACAGAGGATGTGGTGCCGACATGATTCCTTCTGGAGAAAGGACGATGGGCCTTCTTCTTGCCCTCTTTCTCCAGTCTCGACCTCTTAGAAGTAAGGGGGCGACGCGGCGACCCGAAGTCGATCTTCTTCCCTTTCATAGGGAAACGACCTATGGTTGACCAAAAGGAGTGAGGGATGGCAGAAGGAGCAGGGCGCTATTTATAGGGTCCCGAGGGAGGATGAAGGAATCTAAACGGCCCCGGCAAATCAGGAAAATCACAAGGAAGTTGGGCGTTACTCGGACGATTAAGGGCGATAGATTGAGAAAGATTTGTGGATAGAGGAAATAAACGTTTCTACTTTCCGATATCCGCGTTAGAGGACCGGATATAGGAAAGTGATGGACTAGTTGATAGGGTGTGGACCCAGGCCCAAGAAGAATAAATACAAAAGGAGAATCCCAAGAGGACGGGAGAAGTCCAAGAAGGATGAAGAAGCCCACAAAGAATAAAAAACGGCCCAAGGAGTGGGAACCCGAATAAGTAACAAGGCCCGGAGGAGATTAGGGCCGAGTCCAGGAATCGGTCCGAGAGTGGGACTATGACTCGGCTGGACCAGCAAAGAGCCGTTGCGCAGGCATTTATGACGACATTGAAGAGCTCGATCAAGGAGCCGTTGGGAGGCCCAGTAATGGCAGCCTCAACGGCCCTGCGGCGTAATTAGCACTTAAGACCCCTCAATGTACTTAAAGCCGAATTAAAGGAGAGCCTCCTATATAAAGGCCCCTCTAAAGATGTAAAACAGGCTAGTCCATGCCCAGAGAATAGAAAGACACATTCGCTACTATCATTTATTTCTTTCTATTTTCGAATAGCTTTATTGAAAGGTGAATCCACCAACCAAGGTTGTGTTGGACCTCCCTGGGCCCAAAAACCCTAAAACTAACAGGTACGTAATTTACTATGGCGGTGCGCTCGTGGTGTTTTGCCGGTCAGAGAGAACTTGAAGACGAAGAGGATCTGGATTGGTAGAGGCTGTCCAATGTGCGGCCATGGCGCTGAGACAATAGAACATCTCTTTGGCGAGTGTTGGTACGCCAGGCAACTGTGGCGGCTAGATGATGTGTTACAAGGAAGAGACATGGAGACGTTCATGGCAGAGAGTCTGAGCGATCCTCGCCTGGATCACATTATGCAAATGGGGGCCATTTTTTTGGGTGCTGTGGACAGCGAGGAATGATCGTGTGTGGCGAGATAAGGAATGCGTCGTGGAATCTCTGCGCATTCACATCCAGGTGTTGATGGAGACTTGGAAAGCAATAATACCGCCTACGATGTCCAGGGAGCGGTCGAGTGGTAACCATGATCAAAGGGAGCCGCCGGCGCAACACTGGCTTAAATGTAACGTGGACGTAGCGATCTTCGACGACGGCATGGGCTTCGGGGCGGCGCTTCGTGACCACGAGGGCCGTTTTGTGGCGACCAAGAGCGGCCGAATAGATAGTGACCATGACCCGTTGATGGCGGAGACTCGGGCGCTTCAAGAAGCGCTTCGCTGGCTAAGTGTGTTAGCCCGTGGTCATTTGATCATCGAAACAAACTGTTTAACTTTATGTAATGCTTTGAAATCTTGCATTTTAGATTTGTCGTAGGTTCTGTGATTAAGCAATGTTTGTCAATTGCTAAAGACATTGGGAATGTTGTTGTTCACCATGTCAGGAGATCAACGAATCAAGTGGCTCACGTGTTAGCACGGGCAAGGTTCCCGGTCCATTTTTCCACCTTTGTTGATTCATTAATGAAGTTATGTGTTGGTTTCAAAAAAAAAAAAAAAAAAAAAAAATTAGAGGACCATATAGGACAATAATATGGGCACCTTGGTTGATAGAGACTCCTCGATAATAGTGAAGGACAAAAAAAAGAAATTAATTTTCAAAAAAGTATTTACCTTAATATACTTCCAAATTAAATTACCTAAGAGTAGAGTACAACAAGAACAACAATAATGTAGAGTACAAGATTGATGAAGGTGTGCAGTGCAGATGGGTGGATTTGGGGGGAAGAGTCACGTTGGATGCGCCAATCGGTTAGAGTTACTCGATCTGCGGTTAATGATCATTGGATTGTTTTTTTTTTTTTTTTAAGACAATTTTTTTGGATTGTTAATTAAGGAAGGAAATGATTAATGTTGTTGTATGAGGAGTTGTGGTATTAGCTTCATCAAAAAGGACATCTCCATGGGCGAGAATTGGGGGTTTTGCTCTTCTTCCTCGGAGTCGGAGGAAGGCGGCTTCAACATGTGTCCTACGGCCTGGGTAATTTCTTGGACAAAATCCACAATCACTCCATCAATGCCCATCAAATGTTGGATGTAAACTGCCTCGGCCACGTTGTTTAATTTGCCGTATGTGAAGAGGGAGAGATTGGATTCCTTCATCTTCTTCACTGCGCCTGGGTTCATAAACACGCCCTTCACCTCCGACACAACCCCTTCCAACCCACCTTCCACGCACAGCTTAACGGCTTCCTCCAACGAATTCCTCCGCACGTCGGAGTAAACCTCGGTGCCGCCATTGGTGAGGAACAACACCGGATACGCGCTCTGCAGTTTCTTCACCAGCAGGGCGGCGTCCGGCTGGAACGTGGAGAACAGGATCGGCCTGTCCTTGCCGTGATCCCTAACCACTTGCAACACCCGGCGGAGCACCCGGAGGAGCTCCTCTTCCTCGTAATCCAGGTAGTCGTCGAATTTTAACTCGATGTTGAATCCCAGGCTGGGGTTTACTTTCTCCAAGGCCTCTTGCAGGGTGCATAAGGCGTCGTCGATTTCCACACACCACCCAACAACTTTGCCGTCTATTGTTTTTCGCACCAGAGGTTTCCCACCGCTCCCGCTCCCTTTTTGAGGCCCGTAGCTCAGGAATTCAGCCAAGCTCAACTCCGTGATTCTCTTCTCCGATATCATATCCTAGATAGATACGGCATGTTTCATATATATGATCAATTTTAAAATGCAGCAGCAAAGCAAAGAATCGGAATTAAGGCTTACGTTCTCTTTGGAAAGGATGAAATCATCGTGAAAAATGACAGGGCAGTCATCCTTGGTGACCTACAAACAAATGAAAACGACAATTTCTTATCTTAACTTCAATTCAATTCCCAGCGCGCATACAAAATCTAGAAAAAATGTGGATGAGAATTGAAGAAAAACCTAACCTGGACATCAAACTCGATGAAATCAACCAAGTAGTCGGCGGCGGCATTGAAAGAGAGAATGGAGTTCTCCTTGAAGGCCTTCATTCTCCGATCCGGCGACTGCAAAACATTCATTCCGTTCCCTCTGTGCCCGATCACCACAAATTTTGCAGGCCTCAAACCTCCGCCTCTCCCCATTTCCACCCCTGCCGGCATCATCACCAATTCAAATCAATCCGTCGCAACGAATCAGAATGAAAACAGAGATCACAAAACGCACTCACCTTGGGGAAAGCGGGTGGAACAGAGAGAAGCATTCTCAGGGACCTGACCCCCGACATTGGGAATGCCTATGCCGGCGATCTGGACGGCCTTGAGAGCCATTATTTACTTGTAGTATTGCAGGGGGAGAAATTGGCGGCCACAGAGAGAAGGGAAATGCCTAAGGACCAACAGGACGGGGGAATGCCGTTTAAATACCCGCTGGGAAACCGTGAACGGCCATTTTTGACGGAATATTCTCCCCCGTAAATTTGGTACGATGATTTCGGCCGTGGATATTCCTCTGCGTCGATCCAGTGCACACGGCGTTTCTTTCCGTTAAACCGCTGGTTTTTTTCTTTTTCTTTCAAAAAATAAAACTACTACGGAGTATTATTTTAAGTAAAATTGGCGGTAGGTGACACGGATCCACGTAGTGGATAGAATTGAAAAGGTATTGAAGTTGGCCATGACGATTGACGACGCATGTCCACGTGGAAATGAGGAGGAGGAAGGTTATTGCCCTTTTTAAATTCAATCATGGAACATGCGTATACCCACAATAATTAGCCCTACGTAACACATTCCTCATAAGTCATAACTATCATACTTTAAATTACATATAAGCCCTTGAACATACAATTCAGCAAATTATATCGTGCACCACGGTGTATAATCGATTATGCAAAACGCATCAGAATAATATCATTTTTTTTAATGAAAAGAAACTGTATTCGTTTCTCGCCATTCCGCACTCTCCCGCAAAAAGTAACTCTGTTATTCAGTTTCATTTTGTATACACTGCAGTTTCGGTTCAATACAACTGCAGTTTCATTCGATTTATAGACTCAAATATGTGAAAATGTTTTTTAATTTTATTTTATATACGCTATAGTTTTATTAAAAAACAACTACATGATCATTTTGATATAATTACAGCTTCATTGTACAATATACACTCAAATATGTGAAATGTTATTCAGTTTTATTTTATATACACTGCAGTTTCATTTCACCACAACTACAGTATCATTTTGATATAATTGTAGTTTCATTTGATAATATAAAAATAATACGTGAGGCAGTGTCAGTTTAGATATACTGTAGTGTCAGTTGGTAATTAACATACAAAAAAGTGCGCACTCCATTAAAACTAACAGCGCGTCGTTTCTTTACTTAAAGAAACAATGCCGTTTTGACCACGGTGCACGTGCACTACGGTCCACGATATAATGATTGCATACAATTGAGTCTTGAATAAATTTTAAAAAACTTCAATGAATTTAGTTTGCTCTTTTTCTTTTTTTTTTTAACAAAAAATAATAATATCATTGGGCAAATTAACATGTTAGCAACCAAATTAGTGCCATGTTGGTTTTTATGTATACCTTTTCGGCAATGATTTGATGTTTATTATAAACATTTTTTTTTTTAAATAGGCACGATCGTATAAAGATTGAGTTGTTTTCATTTAGATCTGAAAGAAAATCATTTGTCTAGCTTTTTATTGCCGAACAATGTTAACCAAGCTATCTTTGTCGGACAATATTCAACATTTTAAATCCTTGTGTGTTATATTTAAGGGCATATTCACTTTGTTTCTATGTATTCCGTTTCTTAAAAAATAAAAAAAAAATTCATTTTTCTCTCAAATACTACATATTGAACCATTAAGCTAAGTCCGTGCGGGCATATTAATAATTCCCTATATATGTGATGAAGGCAGAAAAATAAAAGGATAAAAGATTGATTACCTTGTCTTGATTATTGAATATATTTTGCAGATTCCTTAGACTTACAGGTTTAAGAATACAAGTCGAATCAAATCAAATCTTGATATTTTGTTGCAATACAACTTTTATTTGTCTGGAGAGCAACGAGGGCAATTGTGAATTGTGAGGTATTAAAGTCCCCCCGCCAACATTTGCGTAACAAATATTGTTTCCCCGTGTTTTTAATGATGCACGATGGTCAAGATTAGCCCCTAAATTACTCAGCGGTTCAAGAACAAGTTAGAGAGTTAGAAATTAGAATGAATGATTGAGCAAGAGCAAGCTAGGTTGGATTCCCCTTGGAAACAACCAACCAACCAACCATCTGCACAGGCAGCCAGACATGGGATTGGGATTGGGATTGGGATTTGGGAGCAGAGTGAAGAGCAATTTTTTAATTAAATTACTGGCATTCACATTTCAATGCAGGTACCTACATTCATATTTCCATTCCAATTCCAGAACAGACACCACCATCCATCTTGGGGGAAAGAGAGAGAGAGAGAGACACAACACTATTGGACACAAATAAAATACAAAACCAGGACCAAACCACTCACTCACAACACACTCCAAACTATGGCCTTCCCAATGCACAACAGCCAGATCAAATATCCTGACACCTATCAAATCGTGCACAACAATATTCTGAAAGGTTCAAAGGTCAGAGATCATACACCTAACACCAAGCCAACCCAACCCAACACAACCCACCATTTTTGACATACTCACTGTTTGTTAACATCACTTGCCCAGCCTCATTGCATTGCATTCAACCCACCACTGCTACTCCCACCCATCCGATTTCCTTCTCCCACTCTCGATGCCAATGCCAGAACTTCAGGCGACATTTCCCAGCTTCCGCTTTTCCTCCCCCAACTGGATCGCCTAGGATGATGCATTGCAGCACGATCACCTTCGTCCACTGTCGTTCTGATCTCTGGTGACATTTCACCTAATCCACCACCTTCCTTCATGTTCACCCCATCATTGTCGCTTAGTTGACCTTCCTGATGCTCTGCCCCAACATCACCCCACACTGCTTTCCTGCCCATTTCTATGTCCTCCACAGCTTTGCCCATGTTTGGACTAACAAAACCCCCTGCTGTATGTCGAGCTGCTAATGCAGGATCCCTAGGGACCTTTGCCCTGAAATCATTCTTCGATGGAGGAATGGAGGTACAGAATATCTCCATAAAATTTTCTACCACTCCTTTGTTGTACGGGTTTGCTCGCCGATCATATCGATATCTGAAGTTTTCATAAGTAGTCTGCACAAAATTCAAACCATATTCATGTTCAAGACCCAACTTCTTTTGAAAGCTGAAAAATAATCTATTCACAACCCCAACCCCCCATTAAATTAATAGTTCAAGTTTTAAGAAATTAATTTTACCTGATTTGTGCTGATGAGGTATAAATGAAACGCAGTAAGACCACCAACAAACCACACTGAAATGAAGGTGTAAGCTATTAGAACCATAGAAGCAGGGGTTTTAATCATTGCCTTCCATATTGTTGTCTCTTCAGCATCCATGATCCTTCTAATGTAGACCCAACAGAAACCAAACACATATATACAAAGAAGAGTCGTAGAGAACACAAACATGAAAAAGAACCGGTAGTTCCTCTGCAACCAAAAATTGTCAGATTTTAAGGATGCAATTCGCGGGGAAAAGACAGTTCTATTCCAGCTATTTGAAAGATAAAACAGTCAAACTGCACTACATAAAGTCTGATTTGATATCAAGAGTAAGTGGTCAAAATTTTAGCATTACCAGCCCAATACACTGCCCAACCCAAGGGCAGTGGTGGTCAAATCTTTCAACACAGTTGTTGCATATTGAACAATGAGAACAGCGAGGAGGTCTGTAGAGCATGCAGGTATCACAATATTTAACCTTCACAGTAATGCCATTAACCTCAACTTCTTTAATGCGAGGTAGGCGTAGCTGTGGGGTTTGTCCACCACCTTCGATGTTCCCATCAAAGTCTTTTGGTTCTGGAGGGTGTGCATTTCGAGGAACTATTCCTGGATCTCTTCCAGAGGTTAGCAGGAGAAGTACCAAAACCTGAGTGATAAAATGTCACACAAGTTAGATGAAGTAAATAAAAGATGCAGATACAAGATTCCTCCTGGACAAATTCTGGTTGAGTAGAAAACATAAACACAGTCATCTGTCAAACATTTGGCACTTAGTCAACAAAGCAAAAATGTTAGTAAATTAAACACTCAGCTGGTACGCTGACCAGACTAATTCCAGAAGATTGCAAAAAAAGCTAGATTTGACTGGACTTAAATTTAATCCCTGCTTAGTTGGAGCAAGCTACATTGATTCTATTTCTCCCATTAGCATAGGATTATTCCAGCTCCACCAATTCACAAGTTATACAAGGCCCCAGTTTGAAAAATAGCAATCAAAGAATGTTTCCTGCAGTTGGTATTTATTAAATTATACTAGAGGACTTGGACCTCAGCATCCGACATTAAGTGGCCTTGAACGTGGGGACAGATCTCCCCAGAAATCAATCTGGTGTCCATCTCTAAGTTACCATGTTATTCTCCTCAAGATCAAGGATGCCAAAGCTACATTGATGAGTTATTAACCTGTTCTTCCACCTCAAGAAATCCAGAAATCCCAGATATATTCTCCTCTCATGACACGCACACAAGGCTTGGGGGTTATTTGTCAGGATTTGTCAACTAAAGTTTGGAAGCCATTGCCATGTTATTAATTTTTTAGCTGTCCTTAATCCTTGCCCTCCACTCTTTTCTGGTGTGCAGACTGCATTCTGACTGATTAGCTGCCTACAACTTAATCCTTCATGTATAGTATTGCATGATTTCTATCAACATAACCACAAAAATTGCTCACCAATACACAGCCTCAGGAAAATGATGCTAGATGAATTCCAAGTCCAATAGAACAAATAATGATCCTTTTAGGCCCTAAGAAAAGTTCAACTTCAGCAGCCATAAACATTGTGGTATGGTCAACATCAAATAAATCTTGATTAGAGGTCTCACAATTAAATACAGGTTAAGGAATCTAGTTACAGGTTACACTCCTGAACTGGTAAATTTACTTGCAAGAATATCCTAAACGTGAATATCTTTCCGATGAACCATCTCAACGAATATCAAGGTCCTCAAAAGCCAAAGTCATAGACATCACACCAAACCAATTCATAGCTAGTGTATGCTCTTGTATAAATGCACTGGACATGATCCCTTCACATTTTTACAGTTTTACCATTGCATCCTTAAGGGAATGAAATGAGGAGAATTTAATCTTATTCTGTAACAAGAGATATAAGACATCTGATCTATGATAGTTTTGTAGAAAAATCAACTTATGTCCTGGGAAAAAGATATGGTCCCTTTAGCTTGTTTATCCTTTGTTGGTCAAAGACAGAGGGAAGAGTAAAGAATAATCATATCTTGTTCACCAGTAAGAAGAAATAGAAGGCATCTACACTAGAGGAGGGTAACAAAATAGAGTAACAATCAAGTTATACTCCAAGAAAAGGCAGCAGGGTAGCAAAATAGGGAAAACAATCCTCTAGTACTTGCTCACGGCTTTTGCAGGCAAGGAATGAAAGACAACAACTATGTTTTCTAGGCAACTTATCCTAAAAATATGTAGAGAGAGTACTTACATAAAATGTAAACACTATTGCCACAACCATAATTGAGATTCCCCAGTCATCTGGATAATCATCTGTTAGCTTTCTAGCAACAAAGACACAGAAGACTACAACAGGGGCCACTATAAGGAATATGGTCAATGCTAATGATCTTGCATCTGGTCCAAATATAAACCTTCCCTGAAGAAAGAACTTCTGCAAAAAGAAAAGCAAGTAAAAAAATCAGAAATTCAATAGAGCAAATGCCATAACCTGATACAAGCAATGAAATTAATGATAAATAGAGAAACAAAGCAGTGGGACAAACAGACTTTAGACAAAGTAGGACATCAAAAAAGACAATTATAGGAAACTGATTTGATGATTGATAACAAAAAGATCAACAATGCAAACTCATATGGAGAATGGACGTACCAAAAGCATCAAGATAACGTGTTTTTTTTTTTTTAACAAACTGCTACTCACCTTTTTTGCTGAGTTTAATATCTCAAAATAATAAATACTACTTGAGTTGCAGGTCCATTAATTGAAGGCAGAAATTATACATATAATTGTCCAAAAGAAATCATTATCAACTAAACCTGCAATAATTCACTACCTGTAACTTAATTTGGCATTTTGTTCATTACTGTAATGCCTATACACAACCATCCTGCTCAAGTTTTTCTCCGTTTTTTTTTTTTCTGTTTATTTTAATTTTCTTATTATCCAAGTTGAGCATAGAAAAAAATTTCCCCCTTTTTTACACAAGACTCTATTTAACTTGAATATGCGGCATCAATTTCTGCAGCAATAATATAATGCTCCCTAATAGCTCAAGATTCCAATTAAAAACTAACATAAATGCAATAAATTTCTAGAAAAAAATTACAAAAGTGATAAACAGGAACTAAAAAATCTTAGAGAAGAAAAACTGATCTTAGTGAGAGAAACTCACATTGCTGCCTTTCCATATCTGGTAAATCCGCAAATCGTCCGACCCATTCGTGGATCCAGATAGCGGATCGGTCCGTTTCGGAGGTGGAACCACGTACATCTCTCAGTTCCTGGCTGTTCACCCAAATCCCCGGCACAATAACTTGTAGTACAATACAATTACAAACCGTCCAGAGACGAGCACATACTCAGGAATAAATACGCAGAAGCAGGAAGTGGAATGAGTGTGTACAAGTGGTGGAACTTCCCGGTGGTACAGTTGTTGTGAACACAGATTCCGGCGAACTCCCGGCGATGAGTGTGAGGATTAGTCGACAAGCCACGAGGCGGAGACTGCGTTTGGGGGAGAAGCAAAGGGTTTTTAGTTGTGTGTGGCCTTTTCTTTATCGAGTACAGTGAGATTCGGTGTGGGAGTTGAAACTTTACAGACTGGTCAAACTGACGTGGCAGTCCACTATTCGACTTTCCATCACCGGTGGACCCTTCTAGGTTGGTGTGGACCGCTCAGCTTTTGTCCAACCACGGATATGACCTGTCCATTTCTGCCTCGCCGTTAAAAGCCTCCTTTTTACAATTACAATTTAATTAAATCAAATATAGAAATTTGATTATTCTTATAAATTAATTGGCCGGATTGATTAATCAATTGAATTGCACCTGTTTCATCCACAAAATATCAGTTAGCTTACTGTCTCAAATAAAAAAAAAAAAAAAAATCAATACATATTTCCTATGAGAAAGTTAAACTTACCCGATCAACTTGAATAGTACAAATTTTGTATTGTTATTATAATTTGTACTTAATATGTAATATATATCTCCAAAAAGATAAGGATGATTTCATTTATTCAACAAGAGATCGATTCAATGTGTCTTATATATATATATATATATATATATATATATATATATATATATATATATATATAGAGAGAGAGAGAGAGAGAGAGAAAGAGAGAGAGAGAGAGAGAATTTGGCAATCATAATTCACTAAATATAATCAATCAAAACATTAATTGTCACACCCATAACGAGTCTATGTATTCATTATCGTTGATGACTTGTAACGGATTAAATTGACCCGGTTGGCCCGTATCAAATAATCCAATTAATTAAGAAACTTATAAATAAAGGAATGAATATAGTAAATAACAAGTTACAAAGACAACAATGTATGACACGGAGACAAAGATTGTATTAGTGTGTGTAATGCTATTACATTAGATTGAATGATTAGATAATGATGATGACGATGTCTTAACAATACAACTACACTAGTATTTAAACTCAAGATCCTCCTAACCGTCCCCCTGGAAAGGAGGAGTTAGTTGTAACTACTTGGACCGCGCACCGACCTCGTGATTAGGCCCACACCTGGTGCCGTCGACCGAGGCCCAAAGCAAGCCCTAGGCCGAGGCCTAGGTCGAGCTCGGGGCTCGGGCTAGGCGGCCAGTGGCCCAATGTGGGGCTCCGCCTTGGAGCCTTGGGTCCAAACAAACCCATCTTACTATGCTCCAGTAGACCGATTTGTTCCGAGTCCATTTCCAATATATTCATCAACTTGACACATATGACTTGTGACAATGTGATTCTACAATTTGATAGAATCATTAATTCTTGAATTGGTATGCACTTAATTTGATGATCAATAAAAATAAGGATCCTTATTTATTATTTCACAATAACCATATATATATATTTTTCAATAAAAAAAAAAAAGAAAAAAGAAAAGTAGCATTAAAGATAGGGCGGGCAGGATAGGTGGTTGTTGGCGAAATTGGTGGCGTAGCACTACCACTAAACGGTCAAAAAGACTCGCACGTACTCCTCTCTTGCCCAAGAGATTTCTCACATTTATCTCTACAGGGACGAGATGGAAATTTTAATTTTATTTGGAAATTAAATATTTTATTGTTTTTGTTTTTAAGAAAAAGCAATTAATAATTTAAGATCAAATTGAAAGAAAAAAAAAAAGAGAAGATTATGAGATGAAATGATAATTGTGAATACTCCTCCTTAGCTGGGAAGAATATATCAGTTTGGGCGTGCATGGCATGTTCTCCATCCAATGCTGCATCACAGTACTCCATTATTATTATTATTTCTTCCCATCCATGCAAGCCTTAGTTTGATTATCCCAAACAACTGCGAATTGAAAGATAAGATCAGATATGAAGACCCAAAATGAGGATGAGAAGAAAGATCATGCGCATGCAGATGAGGAAGGCAAGAGCAGAGTAAATAGGCTGCCTCCAGATCTGTTTAAGGTTTCCCAGGAAATTGATCATTACATCTTCAATCTGTGGAGCTCCCGATCCGGCTCCGACTCCAAGCCCCCCGATGTTCCCATCTGCGTCGAACAGTTCGCCGTTCTTCTGGAGGAGATCATCGACGATTACACCCGTTCCAGGGGGCAACCCGTGAAATGGAGCCAGCTCAGGGACGACGAAGCCGCTACGTTTCTCGAATCCGCCAATCGCATCTCCAAGCTCTCCAAATCCCTCTGCCATTTCTCTTCCGAGTACAAATACGCTTACTCCATCAGCCGCATCGGCGGCGTTCTCCAGCGCACAATGTCCTACTTGGAAGACGAATTCAAATCCTATCTCGACGACTGCAAGGCGCTGAAGATTAACCCCGACACCACCACCGCAAAACAGCATTCCCTCACCAAACGAGACGACGACGGCGGACATAATAATGTCTCGGAAGATCAGGATGCAGATCATCAATCTAGTAGTAATAACCATAATAAGGAATTATCAGAGAATACTACTACGAAGGCGGGTAGTGGGTGTTATTCCGAGGAAATCATGTCGAATTTGAATAAACTAGCCAAGGCGTTGATGTTCGGAGGGTACGAGGCGGAGTGCTGGCACGCGTATTTCGTGGCGCGGCGAAACGTGATGGAGGACAGCCTGTCCAGGATGGGGTTCGAGCGGCGGAGCATAGATGAAGTGCAGAAGACGAGCTGGGAAAGCGTGGAGAGGGAGATCGCCGCCTGGCTTAGAACATTCAAGTACTGCACCACCGAGCTTTTCACCGTGGAACGAAAACTCACCGCCACCGTCTTCAGCGACCACCCTTCCATGTCCGAGAGCATCATTAGCGACCTCTGCCGTTTCACCGTCATCCAGCTCCTCCACTTCTCCGACGCTGTCGCCGTCATTAAACGCTCCTCCGATAAGCTCTACAAGTTCCTCGACGTCTACGAGGCGCTGCGGGATCTTCTCCCCAGCTTGGACACCCTGCTACGGCCCCAGTGCATGGAGGAGCTGAAGGCCAAGACCCTCATAACCCGGTGCCGCCTGGGGGAGATGATGATCTGCATCATCCAGGAGCTGGAAATCACCATCAACGCCGATCCCCCCAAGAACCCCGTCCCTGGCGGCGGGGTCCACCCGCTAACCCGCTACGCCGTGACCACCATAGAAAACGCCTGCTGCTACAAAGAAACGCTGGATCAAGTGTTCATAGAACACCTGCAGTTCCAACAGCAGCAACATCAGCAGCAGGGGCAGGGTGGGAATGAGGTGGAGGGATGGGAATCCCATCTCTCCCCCTTCGGAATGCAGATCGCGAGAGCCATGGAGCTGCTGGACGCCAACCTGGAAGCCAAATCAAAGCTGTACAAAGACCAATCCCTGAGCATGATCTTCATGATGAACAACGGGCGACACATATTACAGAAGGTGAAAGAATCCCCAGGAGCTAGCAGCCTGCTGGGGAGCTCGTGGATAAAGAAACGTTCGTCGGATCTAAGATCTTACCACAAGAACTACCAGCGGGAGACGTGGGGGAGGCTGATGCAGTGCCTGAGCGTGGAAGGGCTCATCTCCAGCAGCGGGAAGGTGCACAAGCCGGTGTTGAAGGAGAAGTTCAAGAGCTTCAACGCCGTGTTCGACGACATTCACAAGACGCAGTGCAATTGGGTGATCAGCGACGAGCAGCTTCAATCGGAGCTTCGGGTTTCCATTACCAACATGGTGGTTCCTGCCTACAGGTCATTCCTTGCCAGGTTTAGTCAGACCTTCACGCCCGGGAGGCAGACCGAGAAGTACATCAAGTATCAGGGGGAAGATCTTGAAAAGTATATTGATGAGCTTTTCGATGGAACAGGGAAGAAGAAATAATAATAACTACTTCTAAATGGTGAAGACAAGCATTTAATTAATTTAATTTGTTGTTTAGATTAAGATTAAAGGGTATGGTAAGATTGATCGATCCAGATCAGATATGATGTCGGATTTGTAATTTAATTTCATCGTCTAGATTATTATATTATATTATAATGTATGGATGGATGGGAGTATGTATGTATGTATGCATGCAGGTTTCCGGCCTCATCATTTCATGTTCATATGCAATGGCTTTAAGTTTGTGAGTAAATGCATGGAGTAAGTAGAGGAGTGCATGCATGTGTCAAAGCTTTGCTCGTAGCGTGTAGTACAGAACACTACTCCTTTTGTTATAAATTCATAATTTGGGCAATTTATATCCTACACCACGGCGCGCGTTGCACTGTGCGCCCAGATGCAAAACGATTTTTTATTTTTTATTTTTTATTTTTTTTGAAATTTCTCGCCCCAGTGTATGGCAGTTAATTTTTCTTTAAAAAAAAAACTCATGTTCAAAAATGTACATAATGTTATACTAGAATACACATAATTGTATACATGAATGTACATAATTATATAACAAAATATACATACTCTTTTTAAAAGATAATACACATAATCTAACATAATACATAATAAATATAAACTTTTAACATAATACACATCAACTCTTAACATTATACACACAAATTTTCTGATTCGGATGTACATAATTGTATAAAAAGAATGTACATAATTGTATAAAAAAATATACATAATTGTATGAACAAATATACATAATTGTGTGAACAAATATACATAATCACAGCAACTTCCTACCGCGCTTCCCAAAATGACCCCAAAACGTCGTTTTGGGAGGCGCGCGGCGCACAATGTTACGCGCGCCGTGGTGTAGGGTATAACGATTGCATAATTTGCATTTTTGTTAACTGTATTTAGGACATTCTCAAAGAAGAGGTAGTTGACTTTTGTAAATCTTTTATGTTGGGTAATAAGGTGGAAAATTCCAAAAATAATAATCCTAGCTACGGAAAGAGATTATTATTATATGGAAAAAGGCAAATATACGTGCTACGATGCGCGCAAGAGAGAATTTCTATGCTATACAATTCAATAAGCTTTAAAAGAGCTCTTGTATAAATAGTGGGGCAAATCCACTTCCTAAACCAATGTGGGACAAAAGTTTCACTTTTTCTCTTCATTTTTCCAACTCAAATAAGTCTAATTTGAGAATCAATATCTCATTCACCCATTATCTGTTTTGAGCGTACAATATATCAATCTCTTCGTCTCACTACGAAGAATCCGAATCCACTTTGACCCGACCCAAATTGGAAGTGGACCCCACTGATAATTGTACCACAAAATAGCCACTTAATATGCCATTTTAAGCTATTTTTCCAACAATCCCCCACATGAATGAAAAATTGATTTTCAGGGTATTTTTGAAATCGGAAACAACTGTATTCAATGGGTCGATCCCTGCATAGGATAGGTAGGGGTCACACCCTTTGAACCTTCCTTCGTGAAGATACATTTACTCTACTGGCTGTACGGTAAAACGCGATGTCTTTGAACCGACTGCCGTTTGTATAAATGATGACATATCTCACACAAGAACCTCCCAACTATGCTCTGTTCTCATGACTGTGCCCGTTTTGGTCGTGGGTCACCGTTCCTGGTTCTGCAAGAGTTTCTAAAGAATTGTGCCCATCAATTCTCCTTTGAAGCGACCCTCACTTCTCTCTCACATAGGTAATTCTTTTCCGAGTATCCCGCATACTCACACATGTCAGCAGACATTTGAATCACTAAAGCATCAACATGCTAACCTCGTGCGGGAGCCACTGTTCTAACGAGGAGTTGAAGGGAATCCGAAACCCCCACAGTGATACCACTACTACACAACAGGCCTTTAACGTTGGCTAAATAGCACCTTTAACGTCGGCTAAATACCGACGTTGTTCTGGGCGACATTGCATATATTATATATAACGTCGGCTATTTAAATAGCCGACGTTATATATATATTTTTAATTTAATTAATAAATATCTACAACGTCGGCTAATAGCAATTAGCCGACGTTGTAATGTTTTTAATTTTTATTTAAATAGTATACAACGTCGGCTAATACGAATTAGCCGACGTTGTAACGTTTTTATTTATTTTTTAAATAATATACAACGTTGGTTAAAACCAATTAGCCGACGTTGTAACATTTTTATTTTTATTGTAAATATATTACAACGTCGACTAATACTAATTAGCCGACGTTGTATGTTTTTTTTTAATATACAGTTTATTTGTCCATTTATACCTAAAAATTTGCTCAAATTACTCAACACCCCATCCAAAACCTGCTCAATTTCTCACAACCACATCCAAAACCTGCTCAATTATTGCACCACAACCACAGCAAAATATGTAGAATCTATTTTTTTTTTTTGAAGGAAGAATCTAATATTTATAATCAAACAAGTAATAAAGTAATAAATCTCACAATTTGATACTAGTTAATAATACAAGTTAACATTATCAAAACCTAATATCAATTTGTTCAATTTACATACTTAACCATACATCAACAAAAAAGTCGGCTCATACGTCTCTTACTTGATCAATTTCTTGTTGAGTGCAGCTCGATCCACCAACCCTCTCAACAATATACAAAGTTGATAATTATTAAGTGAGTTAATACCCAAAATCGTCTTCGACTATAGTGGTTTTTTCTCAATTTTGTCCTAAACGACTTTGGTGACTTAATGTAGTCCCAGAGTTTTGTGTTTTTACTCAATTTCGTCCCAGACTTTTGTGTTTTTGCTCAATTTAGTCCTCCATTTGTTATTCCGTCCATTTGTTGTTAAATAAATAGACAATTCAGTAATTTTAATATTGGCATCTCTTTATTCATAGACATGTGAAGTGTGAAATTCTTCTTTTTTTACGAATTACTTCCAGAATCACTTCTAAAGCTGCGAATATAAAATTTGATTCGTAGGTCTGAGAGTAACTCTGGGTGTAATTCGTGTAAGAAGAGAGATTTCTCACTTCGTAGGTTGAAAGTAAAGAGATGTCAATATTGATATTATTGAATTGCCTCTTTATTTAACACCAATTTGACGGAATAACAAACAGAGGACTAAATTGAGCGAAACACAAAAGTCTGGGACTATATTAGGTCACCAAAGTCGTTTAGGATGGAATTGAGAAAAATCACTATAGTCGAGGACAATTTTGGGTATTAATAATTAGTAAGTTAGCATTTTTAAAATTAGAAAGAGAAAGGTATTATATTAAATTACATGCCTTATCCATTCCCGCACATGCTTCTTTGGAAAGAATTTCAAGCATGTATTTCATCACATAATATCCACATGCCGTACTTCCAACTTGTTGAGCACACTACATTTGAATTAAATTACATTTAACATTTTATTTAATAAAAAACAATAAAATATATGTAGTTTTACAAATGTATAAAATACTTACCAAAACTTTAGTCCATTTTGGTGAACGAGTTGATCCATTGCTTCTCAACAACTTTGCTGAATTCACACACCTAAAATTATAAGAGATTAGTATACATAAATACTTTATGACATCATGCATACTTTATTAATTATACATATTAATACTTATAAGTTCACATACTTTTCAGCAATATCTTTGATGTCATCACGTGGCTGGCCTCCAATTGAATCAAACCAATAGATTTCATTAAGTTGAGGACAAATTGCCATCAACATCCAATGGTCACTACAAATCAATAATGTATTAGTTGTAAGTAAATATAATATATAATAGAAGTGTATTATATATAAGTTATTTTATTTGAAACAATTAAAACTTACTTTAAAATGTATGGCGCTAGATAGCATTGTTTCTGTCCATATTGCATGGTGACGTTGATATACCCTTTCCGTTCATCTATAGTATTCGAAACTGGTTGAATGAAATGTGGATCTAAGAAGCCATATATGGTCTTTGATGCCAATTCAAATTTGTCATAAAGACCCTTATTGAAAAATACAATCAATCTATATATTAGTAATATAATAGATGAAATGAAAAATATTATATAAACAAATATAAGTAAAGAACTTAATTATTACCTTATAAAGAACTGCAATATGGAAACATCTAACGTCTCCATCCTTAAGAAACACATAATCTCAAACGGGTCAAATTGTAAGGGATAGTCAACATCGCCCACAATACCACGCTCCATCTTTATCACAACATTTTCATCAAGTTTGCGAACAATTTTATATTCCTTTAGACATCGAGGACTCAAAGAAGTCGGATCAGCTATAGTGAGATCAACAGAAGGTCGTTGCACACCGGAATCAAAAGTCATTTTTAACTGTTCAATATAAGTAACAATTATTATTTTTAAAAAGTAAATTATACACTATTTTAAAATCTAAAAATTTTGAAAATACATACCTCATCAGCTTGGGTATACAACTCAACCAACTTCTTTGGCCAAATAATAAAGTTGTGCAGTGCATCCCTTAACAGTTGAACCTCATCGGTAGAGAATGGTACCTTTGCACTTGATGCGAGAATTTCATTCACGTTGACCTTCACTTGATCCACATGTATTTGTATCCCATGAACCCTTTCGACCTTGTAAACTATTCCACGTGCAACTTTACGTGTAATGGGATCTTCCAAATACAATTCACATTCTGCTCCTAACTGCATGAATTCATATTAAAAAATAGCTAAAATGTTTTTAATAAATAATAATAAGATTAGCTATAAATGATTACTTATGGCCGGTAAATCAGCAAAAGGGTCTGGAGAACTTGTTTTTTTCACTAAGATAATGTGGTTGGACAGCTACACACATGTCTTCCTCCTGCCTTGATGGTACAGGTTGAGCCGTTGGAGTCTTCATACTACTAATTTCATTCCTCATCTCTTGAATGGTTGCTTGCATGGATGTTTCAAAATGCTCTCTTTGAATTGCTAACGCCTCAGCAACTGCTGCCTTAATCATATCTTTTACTTCTGGTGTAGGCTGACTTTGACAACGTTTTGCATGACCAAAGTAGCTTTTTAAGCCATGTGCTCTACCCACGGCTCTAACACGTCCGCAATGCTCATCTGTACCTATGACATTAGACAATATATCTTGTCTACCGGACTTAACAAATTCTCCTTGAGAAGCTTGCAATGATAGCAAATCCTAACATATAAAAACAATATTTAATAATAATTACTATCTATCTTAATAATGTAGAAAATTATAACATATTACTTACAATCTTTTCCATGACCATTCTAGTCGCTTTGTTGTTAATATTTCCTGATTTGGGGCTTTAGGGGCCTGTTATGTGTTGATTATGTAGGCCTGAGTGGTGGGCGAGCACTTATGTGGAAAGAGGAAGTGGAGTTATCAATAGTGGGTTATTTTCAAAATCAGATTGACTCTTATATCCGGCTGAATAATTCTGCGATGCTTTGGCGCTTCACCGAATATTACGGCTGCCCAGAAAGAAACAACAGACAAAAGTTTTGGGACCTTCTCAAGAGTATGTCTGAACAAAGCTCCGAACCATGGTTCGCAATGGGTGATTTCAATGATATGATGCATACAGAGGAGAAAATAGGTAGTTCCGCACCCGCAATGGCTTCTGAGATATTTCAGGGAAGCTATGGATATCAGCGGTCTTCGAAACTTCAAATTTGAAGGCTATCAATACACATGGGAAAAGGGGAGAGGCTCTACAAACTGGATTAGAGAAAAGCTGGATAGAATCCTTGCCAATGATTTATGGTTGGAGGCATTTGGTGATGCAAAGGCAAGCTCTTTGGAAGCTCTGCAAAGCGACCGTATCCCGATTTCTTTATGGCGGCTCAAAACTGTCGAGGTTAGAAGAAGAAAAAGCTTTAATTTTGAAAATTATTGGATTAAAGAGGCTTGCTAGAGAAGTTAGGTTCTGGTTGAGAGAATTACTCTAAACCCTTGGGTTTAAAATTTGAAATAAGTGGCTTAGTTCTTTCCTTAGCTTGTATATATAGCTCCGTTCTCTTCTGTACATTCAATACAGTAAATACACAGTTTACACAATTTACCTACTAGCAGTAGACAGTAGTTGATGTACTGCATGCACCAGATGGGTCTAATTTTGGAGAGTGGAAATTTCTTATTGAAATTAATTTAGGGGGTATGGGTAAAGATAAACATTTGTCTGGAACATGTCCAACCGAGTAAGCTGAGGCTCAAGAGTGGAACAGGTATGATAAAGCTTTATTATCCCGCATAATAAATTGTATTGATAGAAAAATAATTCTATCTATGTAACACTGTAAAACTGTGGAGGAGGTTTGAGACTTGGTGAATAAATGGTTTAGTGGAACAAACAACCAGAGGAAATTGTATCAATTGTCTCAAGATGTTGATCGTCCCTCCCAAAATGTAGGGGACATCCGAGATTATTTCTATGATTTCAAGAGTGTGAGTGAGGCATTGTGTACTGCTAAGCTGACCACAAATGATGTAGAAAAAAAGAAAAAGCTATGAGATCAGTTGTATGTGTTTAGCTGGATTTCGGGGTTGGATAAGGAGTATGATGTCATGAAATCTCAGTTGCTCGGGAATAAAGAGTTAGAATCAATAGACCAAGTTTTCACTATGGTCCAGAATGCGTCAAGTACATGTAGTGGAGTCTCGGAGAGACATGTTTTCATGAGGCAAGGAGATAGTGGAGGTGCAGGTTCCGGTAATCGTGGGGGTCAATTCCCAGGACGTAGTGGCTTTGGTAGAGGACGTGGAGGTTGAGGAGGTCAGAGGGTTTGCTATAATTGTGGAGAACTCAGTCATCTACGTAACCAATGTCCAAAACCTCTCCGACCACAGAGGTTTGCTAACTCTGTCTCCAAACCAAAAGGTAATATTGTTGTGATGACAGATGAAGAGTTAGCTATGTTCAAGCAATTGAAAGTGTCTGCCTCATAACCTCTAAACACTCAGGAAACATTACCATCTTCCTTAGTCACATTTGTCCATACAGGTAATCCTATTGCTTGTGTCTCCTTTTCGTCCCGACAGTGGGTTATTGATTTTGGTGCCAGTGATCATGTGTCAGGTAATCTAAATGTCTTTTCTAAGTATTATTCCTTTCCGTCTGGTACTAAAGTTACCCTGGCGGATGGTTCATCCGCTTCAGTTTTGGGTAGAGGTAGTGCCAATGTAACTCCATCACTGTCTCTCTCTCGTGTGTTATAACTCCCAAAGTTTCCGTTCAACTTACTGTCGATAAGTCAAATTACTCGAAATCTAAACTGTTGTGTTATGTTCTTTCCTGGTTATTGCTTGTTTCAGGATCTTTTGACGAAGGCAATTATTGGTAGAGGAAAGGAAGTTGGTGGGTTATATGTGTTGGACCAATTCTCTCCTAATCCTGAAGGTGCTCCGGTTAGTTTATTGGGTAGTACGTCTTCCTTTCCAATTACATTGTTGGTATGGTCACCCACCTTTATCTATTTTGAAGAAGTTTTGTTTGAATTTAGAATCTTTGTCTGTCTTGCAATGTGAATCTTGCAAGTTTGCTAAGCATTGTCGGGTACCATATCCTCCTAGGGTCAATAAAAGGGTAGAGTCTTTATTTTACTTTGTTCATTCAAATGTATGGGGGGCATGTCCAGTACCGTCTAAGTCTGGGTTCAAGTACTTTGTAACCTTTATAGACGATTTATCGAGACACACTTGGTTATATCTCATGAAATCTAGAGATGAATTATTTGAGATCTTCTGTAATTTTTGTTCTATGGTTAAAACACAATTCAATAAAATGATTCAAGTTTTGCGGAGTGATAATGGGGCTGAATATTTTCCGATACTTTTTCCACTTATATGAGTCAAAATGGAATGATACACCAGTCGTCTTGCGTTGGCACTCCCCAACAGAATGGTGTGGCAAAGCGTAAAAATCGTCATCTATTGGAGGTTGCTCGAGCCCTGTTGTTTCAAACGAAATTTCCCAAAGTGTTCTGGCCGGATGCTGTCCATACAACTTTTTTCTTGATTAATCGGTTACCCTCGAGAGTACTCCAAGGCCAGATTCTGCATCACCTTGTCAATCCATCCACTCCGTTGTTTTCCCTTTCTCCTAGGGTGTTTGGATGCACTTGTTTTGTTCAGGATATCCATCCTCACAGGGGAAACTTGATCTAAGTATCTAAAGTGCATATTCTTGGGGTATTCTAGCACTCGGAAAGGATATCGATGGTATTCTCCTGACTTTTGGAGGTACTCAGTGTCTGCTGATATGTCATTCTTTGAGGACGTTGTGTTTGAAGAAGCTCTCACCTCATCTGGTTCTAGTTCAGTATCAAATGATTTTCTTATATATACTGTTACCATTCCTTCCGTGGATTGTGGTGAGATTAGGCCACCTGTTACACAAGTTTATCACCGGCGGCCAAGAAAAGTTTAAACGTTGATAGACCCACCAGTTCCACTAGCCAATCCTTCCTTGCAATAATCGTCGTCAACAGATCTCGATCTTCTGATTGCCCTTCGTAAAGGTAAACGTCGTTGTGCTCATCCCATTTCGTCCTTTGTGTCGTATGACCATTTATCTTCCTCTTCACGTGCCTTTATATCTCAGTTGTAGTTAGTTTCAGTTCCAAAATATTTGAAACAAACTATGTGTCATGATGGATGGAGGTGTGCTATGGGGGAAGAGATGACTGCTCTTGAAGAGAACCAAACATGGGATTTGGTGGATCTTCCATTTGATAAGACAGCTATTGGGTGCAAATGTGTTCATGTGGTGAAGATGAACCCCGACGGCTCTGTTGCCAGACTCAAAGCACGCTTGGTGACTAAGGGGTATGCACAGACATATGGTATAGATTATACCGAGACGTTTTCCCCGGTGGCTAAATTGACTTCGGTACGCATTTTTATATCTTTGGCAGCTACTAATCACTGGACTTTGTATCAGTTAGATGTCAAAAATGCCCTTTTACATGGCGATTTACTTTAACAAGTTTATATGGAGTAACCACTAGGGTTTGTTGCTCAGGGGGAGTCTGGAAAGTGTGTAAATTGAATTAGTCTTTGTATGGTTTGAGACAGTCCCTGCATGCGTGGTTTGGGAGGCTTAGTAGTGTTGTAGCATCCCGTGTTACGGGCCCTAACCCAAACTAATTATTTAATTACTTACCCTTAAAAAGAGAATTAAATTCCCTTAATTAATTAGGAAGGGTCCACCAAAGACCATGGACCCTTATCCCTAAACCAAACACTTAGTCCTACAAGAAATAGAATTAGTAAACCCATACCATTCAGACCCTAATTAGGACTCTTAGATATATATAAGGACATAGGAGGCACCTAGAATCCACACCACACAAGAATTCCCTGGAATTCCCATAGGAGAAATCAAGAAGAGGAGATCTTAGAGAAAGACCATTTATAGCCAAGGATTCTAATTAAGGCTAAGAGGTAACCCATGTCTCAACAAAACCTATTTTCCTTGCTATAATCTTCTTCTTTGGCTCCTTATTCTATGCTTGTGTCTTGATAAATCTTTTACGATGATTATGATATGATCATGATGTTGATGAGATGATCATATGTGTTGATCTTGATAATCTTGATGATTATAAGAGGATCATGATAATTGTGTGTTGATTCTTGATAGATCTTGATGTTCTTGATTTTAAAGATAAAGTATGATTTTGTGATTTAAATATGATTAGAGCCCTAGGTTGAATCGTGAATTTCGTATTGTGCTATTCTTGGTATATTTGGGTGGGAATTCGCATGTTCGGGTGTTGATTGTGTTTAGAAGTCATGTTAGGATGTGTTCAATGTGATTCTTGGTTTTGATCCGTTATTTGACTACGTGGTGTCGTTGTTTGCGTTTAAAAGTGTCTAAACATGGTTTCGGGTTCCACAAAAGATCCCGGGACCCAAGTATTGAAAAAGAGTCAGTGGGGGGTTGGTGGGGGTAGGGGAACCCGCCACCTACCCGCTGCCCCTAAAGGGCGTCGCCGGCAGCGGGTAGCCGGCGGGCAGGCGACTGCCCGCCAGGCACCCCCTGCCCAGCATCTCGCCGCCGCCGGCCACTCGCTGGAAACTCCCAATGGGAAGGTGGTTTTCCCCGACCCTCGTGGTGTCCCAACGGACTTTGTTTATCGTGCCTGAGTCTAGTTTGATGTTTCGGGTACCATTCGTAGGATAAAAGAGTCTTATGTATTGCATGCTAGTTGAATTGGCATCCCTTTGACCTAGGCGAAAGATGTATGAACCGCTTAGGATTATTCCTAGTATGTGGATGACCACGCATAAGTTTATTATACGTTTTCTCTCCCCTTTCCCTGTGCTACTGTGGGTTGCATGTGCTTGCTATGTGTTATGTGTGCATGATACCCCAATTTGGTTGCGATCAAATTGGCTATACGGGCAGTTGGATGGGTTGAGAACCATACAAACTGTTAACCAGGCCGGTTGCGATCGGTCAGGTATATAAATATTATATAGGGCTGCAGTCCACCGTTTGGTTGCGATCAAACGTTTTACATGAACTGCGGTTCATAATCTGGTTGCGATCAGAAATACACTCTTGGGCTGCGGTCCACTGTTTGGTTGCGATCAAACATTATGATGAGCTGCGGTCCACTGTTTGGTTGCGATCAAACATTACGATGAGCTGCGGTTCATCGGTCGGTTGCGATCGACCCCTTCGTGTTGCGATACGAGGCAAGGTGCTTCGGGGTCATGCCAGGGCTATATGCACTGGCGCTTCGTGTATGGGCGCGTGAAGGGTCCTGCGGCACCACTAAAGTGTGTTTATGTGATTGAGATAATGATTGAATAATGATATGAATGACGTGAAATAATCTTGTGACCTTAGGATACATGCTAATATCTTTATATGCGTGATTATAACTGTTGAATGTGCTTGTCCTTACTTGTTGAGTCTATTCTTGATTTTTAAAACTAGAGTCTCCTAAGTATATATCTTCCGGCTTCAAAATGGTTTTCATATATATATATATATATATATATATATATATATATATATATATATATATATATATATATATATATATATATACATATATATTGTATTTCAACGCGTTGGAGTGGGTTACCAGCATTACTCGCTGAACAGATATATTTGGCTTTCAGGCACAGATGAGTAGACTCCGGAGCGCGCTAGAGGACGGAAGCTTAGATAGATAGTTTTCCTTTCGGCCTGCGTGCCATTATGATGTATTGACATTACTTTGAGGATATTTAGTTAGTATAGCCTGTGCATCAGAGTTCTCCAGCTCAGATGTGGCATAACACCCCAAACTCTTATGTTTAGTATGTTCTGCTTTGGGATTTAATGATAATACTACCTTTATTTCATAAGCTTCGAAAGTTTTAAATTTTAGGGGTGTTACATGTAACACCCCGAAATTTTGAAACTTTTAAAACTTATATAATAAAAGTGAATTCTCATTAAGGGTCTGTTTGGAAACCCGGAAAATGACTTCCCCGGAAAATGACTTCTGGAAGTCATTTTCCAGGTTTTTGGTGTTTGGGAAGGCTGAAAATGAAATAGTCAAAGGAAAATGCTAGCTAGTCAATGGAAAATGAGGGCTAAAATCCGGAAAATGACTTCCCCTCCATCTTTCAATCAACATCCGTAGACACGCTTCTTCTCCCTTCACTGTTTTTTCTCCCTTCACTGCTTCTTCTCCCTTCACTGTTTCTTCAATATTCAACAGAGAACTACCAAAACATCTCCTCCAACAATCCACAAAAGCTTCACCAACACTAGAAAAGCTACAAGGTATATTATTTTTATTTTTTTATTATTATTTTCAATTATTATGGCTGGGGAAACCAGTGCGTCACTGGTTTCCAATCGTAAACCAGTGTTCACTGGTTTCCGATTGGAAACCAGTGAATGGTTTTCCGCATCAGAAACCAGATCTGGTTTTCGATGCGGAAACCAGTTGCAATTTTTTTTGTTTTTATTTTTTTTATGCCAAACCAGTGAACTTGTTGCTGATATTTTTTTTTACTGATTATATAATAACATGCTTTGCTTAATTTGTGGTTATGTGTTAATTTTAATTGTTGTTATTTGTTGTCATATTATTTTGATTGTATAGATGGATAGAAATCATGTGCGTGCAACTGTTATGGGTGCAGCAAGTTTGAAGAGGAAATGGATTGAGAAATTTATTTCTTCTACGGATTAAATTATGTATGTCTTTTTTGTTGGTTAACATGCATGTTAAGACTTGGATTGTAATCTTTAAGACTTATTTTTATGTATGTTTTGTAGTTGGTTGGTTATGTTGGATCTTAGTACTTGTTATATTGGATCCTAACACTTTGTGGACTTTAATTTTCAAGACTTGATTATTTATGCGTTTATGCTGTTTCTAACATGTAATTGTGATTTCAAATTGTCATATTGTGACAATAGTTTTAGTACTAGAAAGATAGAGAGCAATGACATTAGAATTAAATACAATCAAAATTTATGTTGCATATAATTTGTAATAAAAATTGTTATATTCTCCAAACAAAAATAAAAATATATTATTCGGTATATAATAATTAAAATGTTTATTTTAATAAAAATAAGTATGCCATTCTGTTCATTTTCTGGAAAATGAACCAAACACCAAAAGACAGTTTTCCATCATTTTCTGGAAAATGAACCAAACACCGAAAGACAGTTTTCCATTGTGCAGCCAAACACAGGAAAGGAAAATGACTTCTGGAAAATGACTCATTTTCCAGAAGTCATTTTCCGGGTTTCCAAACAGACCCTAAATCCCAAAATCAAACATAAGAGTGCGGGGTGCTATGCCACATCTGAGCGGGAGAACTCAGATGCACAGGCTAAACTAACTAAATATCCTCAAAGCAATGTCAATACATAATCATGACACGCAGGCTGAAAGGGAAACTAACTAATCTACGCTCCGGATCTCTAGCGCACTCCGGGGTCTACTCATCTGTGCCTGAAAGCCAAATATATTTGTTCAGCGAATGATGCTGGTAACCCACTCCAACGCGTTGAAATACATATAGATAGATATATATAGATTATATGGAAACCATTTTGAAGCAGGAAGATATATACTTATGAGAATCTAGCTTTAAAACCAGGGATAGACTCGACAGATAAGGATAAGCACATTAAGCAATGATAGACAGTTATATAGAGACAATATTATAGAGAACATGTATCTAAGGTCACCGTTTACTTTCAAATCATTCACATTATCATTCAATCATCATTCAAGTCACACAAGCATACTTTGGTGGCGCCACGGGACCAATCGTATGCCCCGAACATGAGGGTTAGTACATATAGTACTAACACGGCCCCGCAGCACCCTACCTCATACCG